CAAACAGAGAAAGAGGGGCGCAATTACCTTGAAAAAGAAAAAAGATAGAGTAAGAGAAAGAGAACTAGAGAAAGATAGGGGAGGAATGGGGGAGGAGATATATAGGAGGAACGTGAATCGTCCTTATTTCGTTTGAAAATCCCATTCCATCCTGTTACGACGACGACGACGACGACGACGACAGCTGCCTTGAAGCGTTTAATCCTTTTTCACAGTGAAGTATTTAATTAACGGCAAGGACTGATCGTTTAAAAGCCGTGCGTAAGCTTTTTCGTTAAACCGAATTAAAAAGTTTCAAATCATATTCTCGAATTTTCACGTGTTTCGATATTTTCTTGAATTTACCTATCGATAAAGTACGAATTCTATTTATAAATATTATTCCTCGTAAAGAGAAAACGATGTAAAGTTTTTGTAAGGGAGATGACGCAAAGATAAAAAGTAAGAGAAAGAGAGGATGGAAGGAAGAGTGAAAGGGAGAAGAAAGAAAGAAAGATGGAGAAAATCGAAGTGCATCAGAAACGCAGCACCGGTGGCCGCTTGACTTGCTCGAAAACCGGTTTTACGAACGACTTTTGTAATGATATAGCTTAAACAGAGTTCGTCGTCAGGATGCTTGCTGGTTGAAAGTTTCGAGAGTAACTCTGATAATAGACACGTTACATACAAACTTATAAACTCGTATTATCGATCATGAGTTATCCTTTTGTTTTCTCTTGTATCGAAATATCTGTGGAGACGATGATATATATATATATATATATATATACACATACATACATACAAACATATGTATGTATGTATGTATGTATATTAGGCAATTTTTAAGTATAAGAGAGAGAGAGAGAAACTTGTGCACGCACGAGTGCACGTGGGATGCATACGCGTCAGCGCGTACCAAGAGGGTGGCGTTTACGTGTGTATGTATACGTATAAATGTATGTGTGTGTGTGTGAGAGAGAGAGAGAGAGAATATACAAGGAAAGAAAAAGGACGAAAAGAAAGGAACGTTCGTCGACTGCAAAGCGCCACGATACTAGCAAGGTCGATCCTCCCACACACTCACACACACACACACACATTCACTCTTACTGAATAAAGTCAGTCTTTTTATATTTTCAAAGTCGACGATATTTCTAAATTTTCTAGTCTTTTCTCCTTTATATACATACATACATACACACATACACATATATACCTGCATACATACATACGCATACATACACATACAAACACATATATGTATTCTATATGTAGTATATATATATATATACAGAATATACAGAAGTATTTGATACGTTGACGAAACTCTTGAAAAATTTGGTTACTTCCGTAAATCTGTCAGGGCGATCGTAAGAGACGTATACTCCTACTATCGAAGAGAATGAAACAAAGAATGCGAAGAAAAATGTAGATAGATGTGTGAGAGAAAAGAAATTTCGTATTTCGCGTCTCGGCAAATACGTGAGAGGCAAAGTCGAGAGCGACGACTCGAGTTCGTTCGCCTCGTCAGACTACGCGACGCGAAGGACGAGATCCGGTCGTCCTTTTTCAAGGATCAAAACCCGGTTCTACCGGATCGAGGAAGAACAAGCGTAACGACGAGTAAGTAGAAGAAGACTGCTGACTATTACTACTACTACTACTTACCACTACTTACTATTTACTACTTACTACTTATTACTAACTACTACTACTACTAGTTACCACTACTTACTATTTACTACTTACTATTTATTATTACTAACCACTACTACTACTTACCACTACTTACTATTTACTACTTACTATTTATTATTACTAACTACTACTACTACTATTACTAATAATAATAATAATAATATTATTATTATTACTCGAATTATCATCCAGGTAAATTTTCGACGAATTCTCAATGACTCACAGCTTACGTGTTTCGTCGAAACGCGTAAATATACCTATTTGTTAGTTTGTTTCCTTTTATTTTTTGTTTTTATGTTTCTTTCCTTTTTCTTTTTCCCTTTCTCTTTCCACTCGACTAATTACAAATCCTCGCACAGCACTATTATAACTAAGAGAGAGAATGATCGATAAAGATCTATAAAATAAGCGATGTGGGAAAGTAAGTATGTACTTACGTGCTTAACGATCCTTATTACGAAAGTGTTAATTATGTCTCTCTTCTCGTCTAACGACGAAGAACTTTACAAGGTCAAGCTCTTAATCACGTATGTGAATAAATTTGTATAAATACGTTTCTATGTATTTCCCTCATGTCTGAATATAATATTTTTTCAAAGTCTTATTAACGAGGAATAGATATTCGCACGCGATTATTCTCCAATTATAAAATCTATGAAACGTACCAACGTCGTTATTTAATGCATACGAGAAAAAATTCGTATGAACATCAAATTACGTAGATAATAATTCACGTGATATTAAGTAAAAAAGGAATAATAATTAAATAAAAGCGATCCATAGAAAATCGTTTTTTATTAAAATTTGTTTTTCCATTATTGCCATGAGATTCGTCGTTATTCTATTGACGAATTAATAACGTCAACTTTTGCAATATTTTCTATCTAAATAAAAGCAAACAAAAAGAAAAAAAAAATTACTAGTATTATTTAAGTAAAAATTACTACAAATTTCTTCAGCTTTATTTAATAATCAATTCGAGATAAGTCGTACATCTAAAGTTTTCATAATTTTATTAGTATTTATAAATGGCTTTTTTATTGTCATCAGCTGATATGTATATAATATATAATTTTGTTACATCATACGACGTTGTTGTAGGCTGCAAAAAAAAATTGAATTATAAAATACATATTCAAAAAAAAAAAGAAAAAAAAAAGGAAAGATGGGAAGTAAGCAAGAAAAAAATTTCAATTAATTCTCGATAAATCTATAAGCGGTTTCTTTAAAAAATAAATTTAAGAGAAAGATAGTATAAAATTCTAGTGGCTCTCTTTTTCATCATTAAGTATTTGAGAATGAACGTGACGAAGTAGTAGTGGTCCAAATCGAAACGAAACTTGTTAAAGTCCGATCGATTTTCGTTAAACGACATCAATGTAGAGAATCAAGGAAGAAGAAAAAAAACTGTTCGATAGTAGGTATATATATTCGAAGAGGCGAACAGAATGATGCGATACTATGCGATGCTATGCGATGCGATGCGATGGGATGCGATGCGATGCGATGCGATGCGATGCGATGCGATGCGACGCGACGTTTCTCTCGCGTTCATCGTGTATATACACTATATACATAGAGTTGGTGGTTCACGAGTCGCGAACTTCGTTTAATTCCCCGTATTTACAATGGGATGCGTCCGGCGTGTATATACGCGCGTCGTTCTACGGGATATACAGACCGTGACGCACACATATGCCCTGCTTCTCGCAATTGGAACACTTGACGATGCATACGAGCTGCATTGCGGCTCGTTCCCGGTCTTTCTCCTACCATTCCTCCTCTCTTTCTTTCTTTCTCTCTCTCTCTCTCTCTCTCTCTCTCTCTCTCTCTCTCTCTCTTTATATATATATATCTATCTATCTACTTCTATCTCTTTCTTCTTCTCCATTGAAACACTCGGCGACCTTTTACGAATTTACAAAACGACCAGTCAATGCATAAATAAATAAATACATACATACGTACCTACGTACGTGTAGATACATACACAAGCATACAGTCTATTTACTATTACATTATTATACAGTTATCGTATCAAAAATTTTCCTTGTAATAATAAATCGTACAAATGTCTTTTTCGAAGAGAATCATCCTATTCGAAGGTATATAACTTCGTTAATTTTAATTTTCTCTTAAGTAAATACGTTCTTCTTTTTCTTTTCTTTTTTTTATTTTATTTTTTTTTTTTTTTTTTTTTTTTTTTACATCTTATATTACGCATAAAATTATATTTACGTACATAAAATATATCTATCATCGTTCTTCGCAAATTGATTTATCCTTCCGTTTATCCTTTCCGTATACTTAAAATACGTATTTTCACTTACGTGGGATGTACCATCCACGATGTTCTTTCACGGATATACATTGATGATGCACAAGTATTAATACCATGAAAAAAATATTATCGACAAGTTTCCTTCTTTTTTTTCGTTCCCTTTATCAAAAAATAACATCTACGAATTATTAAATGATAATAATGTTATCGTAGATAGAACGAGCGAAGAAAAATCTCGATCCATTCGATTCATTTTATCGTTTGTCATTAGAGAATAGAATTGGCGGTAAACTGGATTCGTTCGTATAAACGATGATAACGAGAAATTCGATGAGGAAATCAGATGATTTTCGGAATATTTCGAAAGTCGGAGAAAAAAAGGGGGAGGAAGGAAGGAAGGAAGGAAGGAAGGAAGGAAGGAAGGAAGGAAGGAAGGAAGGAATAAAGAGAGTGACGAAGGAAAAAAGGAAGGAAGGAAGGGATTACGTTTGAAGGTTATAAGAATAAAATACAGTAGAGAGAAGGCCGAACAAAGGAAGAAGAGAGACTTCTTACGTATATTACGTTGAAAGCCGGTGAACGCACTGACGATGGCGGATTGCGGAAGGGGGAGGAGGAGGGGGGGTTGAATGAGACTGACAATTCTCTCTCTTTTTCTCCATGGTAACGCGACGTTAAACGACAAGGTTCAACAAGAAACAGGTCGAAACAAGTTTACTCGCATTTACTCTTTAACCGTTACGAACTCTATGTACTACTACTACTACTACTACTACTACTATTGCGTACTTCAACTTCGAAGAAGGAAAACTTCTCGCGTCTTGTAATGTATTGGTCAATCAAAATGTTCTAACTACTAATCGTTGAGAGTAAAAAAAGAAAAAAAATATATTTCTGCGTCGTTAAACGTTTGTTTTACCCAATACGATATATATACATACATATATATATATATGAAAATATTACAAACGAGAAGACAAAAAAAGGAACAAAGAAAGAAAAAGAAAAAAAAATATATATATACAATTAATTTACATACCCAAAACATGACGTTAAATCCAAAGATGACGTACTTGAGGCAACAGCTCACTTCACTGGTATCCCTTCTGTACTTCCGCACGGCGGGCATGGTTGAGAGACATTTATCTACCTCTCGTGTTAACTCCACGCATTCGTGCACGACACACACCGGATATATACAGGGGGCCCACTACTAATATATTAGCAACACACAATAGGAGGGATTAGGAACGACGGCGCCTAGGAAGGCACTGCCGATCTCTCACGAAAACGACGACAATGATGATGATGATGATGATGATGATGAAGATGATGATGATAACGACGACGACGACGGCGACGACGGCGACGACGACGACGGCGACGACGACGACGGCGACGACGACGACGACGACGACGACGGCGACGACGACGACGGCGGCGACGACGACGACGACGACGACGACGACGACGATGATGACAATGATGACAATAATAACGACGAGGACATCGTCTTCTACCGAAAGAATATTTTCTTTTTGTTTTTTTACACCTTCCTTCACGATGGAGAACCCCGTGCTTTTCTTGTTTCTCTTTTCACTTTCTCCGTCCTTTTCTCTTGACCTTCTTCCTTTCTGCTTCTTGACCACACACCTCTCTTTCTTTCTCGCTCTCTCTCTCTCTCTCTCTCGTTCTCTCGTTCTCTCTCTCTTTCGTTCTCTCGTTCTCTCTCTCTTTCACACACGCAGTCACGCACGCACGCACGCACGCACACACACGCACACACTACTCTATTTTCTCGGAGGCGCGTTCGATCAGCTGATCACAATAACGCACCGCACCGCGATCACAACTACCGCCATTGTCACGTCACGACGCACACTGCTCTCGCTCTCTGATCAACGAGCCAGCAAACGGATCGAGCTACCCCCACCACTAACCTTCCCCCTCTCTCTCGCTCTCTTTCTCTCTCTCTTTCTCTCTCTTATCTCTCTCATCCCGTAACCACCGACACCGTTGCCCCGCCCCTTTACTTCACCCCACCACAATGCTTCATCCTTTTCCTTCATCTTTTTCCTCTTCTTAGCCGTAAGTCGTTTAACGTTTCCTCTTTAATATCTCTATTCTTTAAACTCGTTCTATCCTTTTTTCCTTTTTCCTTTTATTCCTTTCCTCGAAATCTACGACATTTTTATTCTTATTACGTTGTATAATACGTCGAATGTTGAATTTTGTTGATTAAAATTCTTTCATCCTTGTAACGAAGCCTTTTGTTCAATTCGACGATAGCAATTACTTCTTCATCTCCTTTTTTTTTCCTTTTTTTCCTTTCGTTTTTTAATACGTTCGATATAATAATAAAAAATATTCATATTTCTTCGTTACGTTATGGAATCATTTGATAAATTTTATCGTTGATTCAACTCAATAAAATTTATGTTTAATTGATTGAAATTGTTTCCTAGTTTTTATGTGTATTGTAAATAATAAGATATACGTCAGAGATTGGCGCGCGATTTTGACCATGTGTCGTTCTGTTGATCTCACAAGATCATGCGCAAAGTTAGCGTTAGCCGTTGTAGGTTATGAAATATATATCTCGGCTCGATTGATACTTTCTTCCTTTTTTTTTTTTATCACGTTATAAGTTATCAAGAATTAAACGTAATATCAATTGATCGAAGAAGATGAACTTTTTATCGAATTTAAACAATGTAATATTATCAATATTTATTATCGTATTACAATTGATATTTCCTAACATAACCTAACAGCTTTGTCAATAATCCTAATGTATCCATTTATATTGACATTAATTAATTATCAAATTTAATCCGTATGTATAAATTGTTATTTATTAACAGATGTCTCTTCTACAACAACCTTCGTTGCGTCGTTATATACATGTATGTACAGTCCTTAATAAAGTGCAATCTGGTCGTTATAAACCAACGCTAAAGAAAACTTTACGTTTAACATACGAGATGGCTAATCCTCCTCATTATATTGCTCACAGAAAATCATGGAATTCTTGGAATACATGTATGTAAAATGTACGGTAAGAGATATACGATTATTTTTTTTAGAAAATAATTATGATCTTAATTATTCTTGTAATTTAGCAAATATAGTAGATGGCAACAGACCGGCGGAAACAGCATTGGAAGATATATTTATTAGACGTTTCATGACAGGAACATGGCACAATTTATTTATATCTGAAATAATAATTAAAAGACAACATAATTTGATTAGAATTGGTGGTATTATTCAACGTTCTATACATCCTAGTAAGATATACTTTTTGACCGGTTACACTGAAGAATTTTTGAGCCGTTGGTTACAATCCCCTGTGAAAATAGAAATAGTAACGGCACTTAAAAATACAACTACATTTAAATATATTTAAGAATCAAATAAAGCTGCGATCAAATGATATAAGGATTGTAAAAAATGTGGAATAAAAAAGTATATAATAAAAAGCATATAAATTATTATGCCTGATCATATTTATAAATATATTCTGAGATGGGAAAAATATTTTGCAAAGATGATGTCTCTCTTTAAATCTTTTTCATTTATTTTGCATCGCTTAGTAAATCATTACATTTGATCATGATTCAAATGCAGCCCATATACAATCATTGCATTTTTAATAAAAAGTAAAGTATATGCCACTTTTAAAATGTATATTCAAATAACACGAAAGGGTATTTAAGTGCGGACTGACAGAGCATTCGATCATGATATAATTTTACACATTCTCTCCTTGGTTATGTCTTTACAACTTTTGTTTACCAATATTCAATCAGGACCGTGTAGCTACATATTTGTACTTTCCATGTTTTCTTGAGTATTATTTCATTTCGAATGCTTAACAAAGAGAGATTTCTAATGGTTGATTAATCTGTGCTTTGCTATGTCCTATGATTACAATGTTTAAATTCATTTATATAAAAGGGAAGTACAAATCATGTCTGTACATTAGTCACAATCACAATGTTTATTACATAATACAATGCAATTATTTTCCTATTGTACGATGAAATGGTATTTATTGTACGTACGGTATTGATTAAATGCATGATGTACTTAAGAAGATATCTAAATTTGAAAGATTTTTAAAGTTACTTTTTCGTTATATTTAAACGTGTGAATTAAAAAACTACAATTAATATATTAATTATCGAGATGTTATTAGCTTCTATAAACGATTGAGTGACAGTAGAAGAACTATTGTCATTATTTCTACGTTAATCAATTAGGTCTTTCTATCGATCACAAGGTCGCATATCACTCTTACACAAGAATCAAGTTAATGCATATATATTTTGTAAAGAAATGCTTTTTTTTTTTTTCCAAACAACAATTCTTTTTTTACTCTTCAATTATCGAAAGTTAATTTTTGAAAGCTTACACGAAACCTGATTGAATTTACAGATTTAGCACTTTGAGGACGCAAGAATTGTGTTCCAATGTTTACAATTTTTGAACGTTTTTTTTTTTTTATAAAAGTACAGGCTGAAATGTGCTGTGCTCATCTTATTATTATTATTATTTTGTATAACTTAATTCTTATCTATGGAAGTCAAATATCGACACTCGTGCAATACCACATATGAGGTCAGCATATCTTTTTTTTTTTTTCGTTTCTTTGTTATTATTACCTCAGACAGTCTAATTTGTTCTTTTCTTTTTTATCTCAGAATTACATACGTTATATTCTCTTTATATTTTCGTAAACAAATAAAATTTTTATCGAAGCAAATCAAGTCATTTTAATAATCTCTATGTTGTAAATGACATGATTGAATCGTATCATATATTATTCATTTACGATTTTATAATACCTTTTGAGTTCCGGCCCAAAAATGAAGAAATCGATTAATCTCATTAAAATTGATGCTTCGAATAAAAATCTGAATTTACGAGAATACTAAAATTTATTTCATTGTATTTTAATAACTTCTATAAAAATCTTTCTTCCTTTTCAAGTTGGATAATAAACAAAATGTTTCTTGATTAGATGAATAATATAAACTTATGCAGTATTGCATACATAGTGTCCCTTTGTGTAATTTTATATATATATATATATATATATATATATATATATATATATATATGTATATATATATATATATATATATATATATATATATATATATTATATTCTTAAGTAAGTTATATCATATTATATCTAAATTGCAGAGTACAGAGAAGAACAGGCATTAATTACACATTACAAAGTTGGAAATTATACAAATACACTAAACATTCCAAGCAACAGAACACAGTGTTCGCATTGTACAGAATCTCACAAAGAATATTTATTATAATCGCGTAAAAATATCTACTTAATATTAACTCTTCTAAGACTAATATATTTGAATGATATACATGCTGGAGATGCTCAGAAGATGTATAATAAATAAGGCAAATGAAAAGATCCTTCTTCTTTTTCTAGAAGTATGCCAAAAAAACACTGAAGGTAATAAATTGAAAATAAAATACTCTTAAAGGTACTCATTGTTCTAATAAAGGCAAAAACTATCTAGATATGTATATGTGTGTATGTGTATATATATATATATATATATATATATATATATATACATATATATATATATACATATATATATATATATATACATGTATATTCATATTATAAAATATAATTAATTTTTTTTTTCTTTTATAAATGAAATTTTGTTTCTGAAAAGTTTGATAGATCCTTCAAATTTATTTCTATTTATTAATTATTTCTATAATTATATAATATCATACGGAAAATAAAAAATAATTATCTTATACAACATTAACTCCTCTATTTTTTAAAAATAATTATAAATATTTATTGAAAAAAATTTAGCAACTATTTGACTCAATTTATATTAATTTCTATTATTACAAAGAAATATAAGAACAATGTGACATCAGCTCTGTTAAATATATTAATTACTTTACAATAAAAGATATTTTACATTTTACTTTGAAGACTGTAATAAATTTATTTTCAATTAAAATAAAACATTGTGTTCTCATATTAAAGGATTTATCAAACTTTTTCTTTTTACAGTTGGAGAGAATTTGAACAACTATAATATAAAAATGAAAGCATTTGGAAATAATTCTTAAAAATAACAACTGACAGAAAAATTTCTTACAATTACTTAAGATTTTTCTATATATTCTTTTAACACTTTGTAATTGAAAAAAAGTGTCTGTATGTGTGTGTATGTGTGTGTGTGTGTGAGAGAGAGAGAGAGAGAGATATGAGTAGTAAGACATGGTATCACTGTAAGATCAATATTATGCATAAATTAATACATAAAGCTTTTAGATTCTTTACAATGTTTTTTTTTGTTAATAATTATTCACATAAATTGAATCAGATATATAATTTAATACTGATCTCGGAAAAATCTATATATCGAAGAATAAAGAATAATAAAAATATATTATCAATGAACATTGCACATAATATTGATTAAAGTGATACAAGTAACTTACTTAATGTATACATCATTTAAGCTACAGTCATCGTGATACGAAATGGCTATCACGATTTATAAGTTAATTATCGATTCTTCAGAGCTTCCCAGTACTCAAAGCTAATTGTATGGTAATCGTTAGTACTTCATTGTTATAGTCTTATTGTAAGCCAAATGCATAAGAGCACGATCGTTATCTAATAGCGTTTCTTGTATATTTATTTAAATAATAAGGCTTACTAGGTGCTGTTGAAAGTGCAACGACATATTGTTCATACTTTTTTTAAGTGAACATAAATTTAACTGATTCACATTGCTTTACAATTGCATGTAATAATTATATTGGTCTAAACTTAACCATTTATATATTTATATTCTAAGTAATGAAATACTAGCAGATTACTCATAGACTCATAGACTCATAGTTTAGCATATATAAGACACACTTAGCAAGAAAGTATATTTAAAAAGTTTTATAAATACCTAGTATTTTAAATGCTGATATATAAATTTCTTTATTATAACATAATCTATTCGTCCGTAAGAGAGATGTTTGTTTGTATGTTTTTTTTTCTTTTTTTTTTTATTTTTATTATTTTTTTTTTTAATATATTGCAGTTGATTAGCATTCGTGATGATTTCATGAAATCTTTTGGTTTCGTAATAATTAAATTAAATACGTTCTCGATGACAAAACATTCATAAAACTAACGTGTGTTTTTTAACAACAAATATTCTTACAATAATATATTATGCTATATAGGATTCACCTATATTTATTATAATGAAACATTCAATTGCCACAAAACCATTGATATTGTTTTAAACGTTTTATAAATTAGTTCAAGGATTTACCATTTATTCTTTATAAATAAATTTTAATATGAAAAAATAAACTTCAGTTGGAAAATTCTTTGTCACCGTTATCGTAAAGGTAAAAGAAATGATATATGTTCTCATATGTTCTCATATGTTTTTTCTTTTTTTTTTTCTTTTTTTTTTCCTTTACTATTAATTAAAACGATATGACGATTATGTATTTGTTGCGATTGAAATGTTTGATGTTAAATGTATTGCAAGAAAACAGTATTAATGTTTTACATTAGGCCCGAAGTTATTAAGCTATATAAAGTTTAATACATTTTTTTTTTTTCAAGGACCATGTATCTGTCACATGAAAATGTATTGTGAATGAATCAATGTACAGTTTTGAATGCCATTTCTACGATCGGTAATTAAAACTATAAGATAATAATCTACTTTATACAACATTTACTACACATACGTCTTTGACAAATAAATGTTCGACTACTTGCATAATTCAGTTGTGTGTTTACAAATTTTACATATGGTAACCATCGTAATCATTGCACTCATACAAACAATTTATTTTCGATATATATATATATATACACACACACACACATATATATATATATATATTTCTTCTTAAAATATTTAATATAACAATTGTGAATTTTTTTACTGCTTTTAATGATAATACACAGCATCAAAGGTATCGTCAAATAATATATATTTCTGACGAAAGAAATGCAGTTGTAGATAACGCGAAGATTTCAGGTATTCAATACCTATAATATTTATCTACTTTACAACTGAACTATCAAGTAGTAAATTGGATGTGATATATATTAATAATTGGAACTGAACATACCTAATGATGAATGTCAACTGATATATCTCAATATTACTATGATAGACGAACATCGTTACATTTTACCATACTTACAATTACATTTGCTACAAATATCATCTATTTCCTTATATAATATTATCATTATCAATATACGTGGCCAATAAGAACAGATTTGTACTTGATTAAAATTGTTAAGTCAACTCCGATCACTTCGCACAGCCCAGTATAGCGTGTATGTTTTCATATTTTTTTTGTTTTCTTTTGTTTAAAAATACAATTTGTCATTGGATGGCAGCATTCTTATCAAAAGTTGGCTTGGAGAATGTTGTAATGACATTTAGGAAGAGATTAGGATTTTTCTAGTAGATACTAGTTTGTTAGTTAATAAATATGTGAAATTGTTCCAATTGTTTATGACGAGATATCACAGAGGCTTGATCGGAATATCATTTTTGTAGGAAAATAGGTGTATCTACATATTATGATGGTAATAGAGAGTTTATGGTACTCTTAATATGGGAAGTTAGTTCTTAAAAATGCAATACACTATACATGGGCTAAACGCATTACAACACGACTCCCTTCACCTGGTCATTAGAATTATTCATCAATATGTCTGTCAGCATGTTGAATGTGCGGCAATGTGGAGTATTCGTAATATTCGCTATTAGAATAGTAGTCGACTGCGAGTGATATTGCTAGAGCCTGAAGTAAGAGAAGGAGTGATAAGGATTTCATTTTTATTATTGTATATCATTCCCTTTTTATTATTTGGGTCTAGATCGCAGCGGCTGCTACCTGCGTGAGATCAAACCGTTGCTTGTTCCTACTGTTGGTGTCATTTCTAGTTCTACTAACAATGGAAAGTGGTCTGCAAAAATAATAATTGTTACGTTGATAAGGATCTTATAAACAATATCTATCATATGAATTAAACGATTAAATAAATCCTTACCAGATGGTACGTGCGGATGCGGACAACCTACCACTTTATGTTCTCTAAACCAATCAGCGCTTAATGGTCCTAAAAGTCCCAACGGTACCATACTTTGTTTCGAATAGAAAATGTAATCTATTATGCCTTTAAAATCAAACCTGCAAAGAGAGAAATTTTTTTTTTTTTTTTTTTTTTTTTTTTTTTTTTTTCTTCTTAATAAATCAATAAAAATTAAAACGAATAACAATGAATTTTATTTCAAATAATTTACGAAGATATGCAACTTACGTGTAATTAGTATAAGGCATAATATCTTCACTGTAGGCGGATGCAAGTTTGAAAGAATGTGTAAATTCATTAGGTTTATCGCAACCAGATATCTTTTGTAAGCATGATTTATAAGCTAAGTCCTTAAAATCGCGATGATCGGCCGCAACACGTCCCGACGTAAGAAATTCAATAACACCTATTTTTCAATAGATACGAATGATTTATTTGCAATAATTTAATATCATTTTTTTCTTTTTTTTTTTTTTTTATGAATAATATTAAATTGTAATTTTACCTGAATCAGGTAGAGAATTAAAGTCACCACAAAGTAGAAGCTGCACGTTGGAAGAGTCAGGCTTATGACCAGGTCGGAAAGACTGACCAGCTTGGTCCAAAATGGAACGTAATTCATTACTAAGCATCATCGTCTGTATCAATTTAACATCACAAAATTCAGGATCCCAATGAATGTGGGCTGTGCAAACTAAAATGGGCTGTTGTACTTGTGCTGGATCTGATGGCAGACCTATGTAAAAAAAAAAAACCACGTAATCGTATTAATAATTATAAAATAATTAATGCGAAAAAAATTTTGCACATGTGTTTTATTATAAATTATATCGTGTATATTAATTTCAATGAACTCTATAGGGAAAATATTTTATCAAAAATTTCACATGCAAAAATTAATATTTTGGTTCCGGCCGGGATCGAACTGGCGACCTTCTGCGTGTAAAGCAGACGTGATAACCGCTACACTACGGAACCTCGATGTTAAGCACCTCTTACAGACAATACTGGTTATGCGATTTAAAGAAAAATCAAAAATATTTAAGAAATATAGTAATATAATTTTTTATTTTATAACAATTGAAAATCGTACAAGAAATGATATATAGAAAGAAATTTATTTACAAATTATAATGAGTAATTTGATACATATATATATATATATATATATATATATACATATATATAAATGAAGATATCTTATTACATACATTTTATTGTTTTACATAATTTGGTAAAAAAAAAACAAAAAAAAATAGCTGTTTTTAAAATATAACGTTATGTTCAAATATCTTATTGATTTTAATAGAATTATACACTTTTGATCTATCTTTGTAAAGATTCGTTTTTTTTTTTTTTTTTTTTTTTTTAAAAAGAAGTTATTGCAAATGGGAGTACATTGGATTTGCAATAAAAAATATTAGAACTTTTTATTTGTTTACATGTAAAAAGGATGGGTATATAATTGTTACATAATATCTTTTCGTATGTTAATCTTTTAAAAAATGACAATTAAAGTGAATACCCCATAAAGCAAAAAACACGGATAAGCTATCAGAGGACGTTGATTGTTTTCTCCGGACATAGTAGATAATAGTCTAGAAGCTGACAAAGTTGCCCAAGCTACAGCCATTGCTGCAACGGCTAAACCAATGGTACCACGAAGAGTGGTAAAAATACTAACTGCTGAAAGTGCTACAACAGGTAGTAAACAATAGCCTAATACGGATGCCACTGACAATAAAGTAATATTATCGGTGCTACTCATTAAAGATAGAAGAATGTACATCAATAGACATGAAATTGTTGCTAAACCATATACATAACCAAAATGTGCTTTAGAACCAGCTAAAAGAAGAAATGCAGCGAGAGCTAAACAAAATGTAACTGG